AAGCTCCAAGTGATGAATCCCAGCAAGAGAGTTAGGATCTAGGTTTGTTCCCTATAAATACAAAGGAACGCTCATTTCTAGCACTGTTACAAGGAACAATATTTCGGGGAAGGGCAGTGTTGCAGAAATAGGCCATCTGGTCCAGCGCAGCTGAATTCTCTGTACCCCTTTACTAAACATAAGAGAATTCAGTCTGCTTACATAAATAACTAATGCAAGTGACTAAAATAAGAACTGTCTCAAGTGCCTTTGCCTGAAAAATCCAGAATTAAGTCTGAATGAAACTTAATAGGTCTGAAAAGCACACTTGCATTTTTTCTTCCAGTTTGCTTTGTAGGCATACCATGACTGCTCTCTGGGACACGCAGACCCAGCTTAGTGCAAGAACCCTCTTGTAACTCTTCTGTGCCTGGTAAAACTTTGCCTATGGAGTCTTCTTACAGTACTAGAGAATGTGTCTCTCTGTTCCTCCCTTTTCTAGAAGAATCTTAGTGTAAGTGACTTAGGCCTTAAAATTGAATGGTCATCAGAAGACCATCAAATCCTGGGGCTGTGCCCACAGGACCAAATCAGTGTCCCTCCCGCCCCTTCCTATGCAAAGCCACAGAAATTTAAAAGGGAAAGACAGTGCACTTGTCATCCATAGTGGAAGGTCAGTAATTTGTTTTCCGTATTGTGACTGCACAGTCCAAAGGTGTGTCTGTGGGTGTTGGTTTGAAGTTCCTAGTTATGTGACCAAGACCCTTAAATGTCCCAGGTTAGTTTCCTGCTCTGTGATGAGGGCAGGAGATGTGTGCTTCCAACGGTGTTAGGAAAATGGCAGATCCCAAGAACAATTTCCACAGTATTTACTCCAGAAATATCACACATGGCAACTGCCTTCCCCAGGTCCTACTTCACACTGCTTAATCACTCTCATACACAATTGGACAGATCGTCTCTCCTTTGATTGACTTTTGTCCTCTGGCATTCGTTTGCCTCTGACTGATAGCTCTTTGACCTTTCTGAAATCGACTATTTAGCTTCCTCAAGCTCCTCTAGTCATTTCCCCGCTATTAACCCCTATCTTCAGAAAGAACAGAGAGAAGAGGGAGAAATATAAAACCTTACTCTCTACACTGTATGAATAGCCATTCCAAACATCCACTACATCAATGGATTATAGTGTAACATCATAATATTATTGAAAGGAACTCCTGAAATTTTTAATTTGCTAAAATTTCTTACAAGAAGAAGAGGCTGGGCTGGCAAGATGGCTCAGCAAGTAAAGGTGCTTGCCACCAGCCCTAAAGACATGAGTTCAAGTCTCAGGACCCACATGGTAGAAGGAGAGAAAAAAAAACTCTTAAAACTCTTACCTTCTGCTATCCATAAGTGTATGTATACACACAGATATGTAAATAAGTAAATACATAATAGGAGGCAATACTTAGCGTTTTAGTGAATCCTAAAGACCTTTCAGAGTGTCCTGGCCAGCGTCAGAGCACAGACTTTAGTATGTACTTACCCAGCCACACAACTGTCAAGGCTATTTCCCTTGAAAAAACCGCTGTCACTAAAAATATTTTAGAAATGAGATAAACAGTAATACAATAATCATAGTTCTTTTAGGTTCTCTGGTAAGTAATCAGAATGGAAGATAGCTTAATAGGAATGATTTAAACAAAAAGAAAGTAAATCTACTCAGCCTCAAGTATGAGAAGAGGAAAGAAGACTAGAAGGCCATATTTCTTTTAAAGTTGACAGTCAGTTAAGGGATGATAAACAGAACGACCCAGGCTGGGCTATGCCACTATCATCGGACTCAGCCTGCTGATTACAAGATAGCTAGTGACTGCCTCGGGCTCTCCTCATTCCTTCTCTTACAGGTTCCATTATCGTTACTCGTCCATGTCATTTCAAACAGCACTAGATGGTATTTACTGACCGTTTCCACAGTGTCACAAAGCACGTCTAGCCTTCTGTCTGTGTGAACACAGCTTTGGGAGTGGGTCTTTTATTTTATACACACACACACACACACACACACACACACTCACACTCAAGGGGTTAACCCCATTAGTCATACAGGAAGCACTAGGGTGAGAGTCAAGCTCCGAGCAAACAATCTTTACAATTATTCTAAAAGGCTCACTGAGCTCGCCTATAAATTTTCATTTAAGAAAACTTGAGAGACTTCTGGTAAGTTGGTAGTCAAGAGGGTATCTCTGCCTGATATGATAAAAGAGAGGAGTAATAATTAATAAGAACACATTTTTTTACACTGTTCCAAAGACAGGGGAGAGCTCTGGAAATTCACAAAGGCGATGACAGAAATATGTGGAGGAAAAGATTGACAGCTCCACAGAAAGGAAGTAAACCATGTCAGACAGCTCCAGCCAGGCTCCCTGTAGCAGAGGCAGCAGAAGCCTCAACCTAAAGGTGAGTGGAGCCAGGCAGTTCTGCCCTCAGGACAAACCACAGCGTCACAAACTCCAAACCAGTTGTGGGTTTTGGTCAAACAGTGATTCCTCATGCAGAAGGTCAGGACTAGAGAAGGCCACCAGTATCCATGCATATGACTCAGAGGGCATTGGTCAGGCACACCCTAAAAAACGAACCTACCATTTAAAACTTAGCTATCCTAAGGGCCTGACAACGAGGAATAACCACAAGTCTGGGAACTTTAATTTAACCTGCAATAGCCCGAAATGAAAAGTCCTCTAGGAAGCAATAATGGGGAAGAGGGGGACCAGACACTGACAGGAGAAAATGGACCACTAGCAGGAGGCTAGCCTCAGGAAGTGAAGTGTGTGGGCAAAGGGAGTCCTGACATAGCGGTTGGGAAAGGGGATATTTCTCTGAGGCCAGCAAGGTAATCACTCTGCATCCACCTATTTCCCTTCAATGCTGTGGAATATGAGAACTATAAACCTCCAGGAGTCTTCTTGACATTCACAGTTACATTCCTCCAGTAGAATGACAATGACTTTGATCTCAAAAGCACAAATCTCAGTACTATGGTTGCTTCTCAAATTCATTTTGGAGGCACACGCTAACTAGGGGTACACCCTAACTAAAGCTGCACAGCCTGGAAGTCTCAGGAGGGTAGGAGAACTGGCCCAACCCACAGACTGCAAAGTTAAACGTGCCTATAAGAGGAAAAGAAAGGATGTTATTAAAATGAAGACAGCTCTGGTTTACTTTAGACCCTTTGTTGGATGTGAATTCAAGATGAGGATAAACCGTAGGAAAGGCATGAGTTTATACTCCACTGTCCCAGTGCCCATGCAGACAGTTCTCTGCTACACAGTTGAGGTTAAGACAGGCACAGAGCTTATAGAAACCTACAGTGGCCTTTGGATCTCTGAGGAGCTCATGGTGGTTAGAATCAGAAATGTCACCCATTGGCTCAGGTATTTGAACATTCAGTCCCCAGTTGGTAGTGTTACTTGTGAGGATCCAAGGAGGTTAAGTACGTCAGTGGAGACAGTGACTGGGAGGTCATTGCCTCACTTCCAGGTCACTCTCTGCTTTGTGCTTGAGTATGAAGGTGCGATCTCTCAGCTTCCTACTCTGGTGAAAAACTGCCATGCCTCTCTCACCCTTGTAGACTGACTCTCCCTCTGGAAACACAAACCAAAGTAAAACTTCTCCCTCATGTTGTCCTTGGTCAAAATGCTTTATCATAGCAACAGAAAAACAGTTAATACAGACATTCTGTCTTACCTGGTGTTAAAGGTTAATTTTATATATCCTCCTCTTTTAGTGAACCCAGCCAGCAGGTATAACCATTTCTTAATACATCTGTGAGGGTGTCTCAAGAAGAAATAGCACCTGAATCAACAGACTCATTTTTGGGTTTTGTTTGTTTGTTTGTTGTTTTTTTAGACAGGGTTTCTCTGTATAGCTCTGGCTGCCCTGGCTTCCCTGGAACTCACTCTGTATACCAGGCTGGCCTCAGACTCAGAAATCTGCCTGCCTTTGCCTCCCAAGTGCTGGGATTAAAGGCGTGTGCCACCACTGCCTGGCCCGAGTCAACAGACTTGTGAAGAAGAGTCTTGATCCATCAATGAGAGTGGATCAATCCACTCTAGGTATACCAGATAGTCAGAGGAAGAGGCTATTTCTACTCTTTTCTAGAGTTGCGCTGGCCAGCCTTACCTCCGTATGTCAGAACTCTAGGACCTAAGGCATTTGGATTTGGTCTTACTCAGCAGCCCCCAAGGTTTTCAATACTTAATTACACCACCCACTAAAATAGTTCTCTGGGTTAATGAAAGAAGATGATGACCTTCAATTATATTGGACAACTCCCATAATAAATCTCAGCTGTATTTATATACACCCTATTGATTCTCTTTATCTGGAAAACCATGACTCACCCAACTGGTGATCTTCCAGAATGCCCTAGTTGGTTGTAATATGAATTCAGATTTGAGAATGTGCAATTCAAACATTAGGTTTAACTGACAACTTACTATTCTTTCATAGAAGTGTAAAATAAAGAGGAAACTGAGTGCTAACAGAAGTCAAATCTTCTAGCTAGGTAAAATATAAAATATTTGCACTTACCTGTTATAATTTTATATCTAAAATATGGTCATTGAAATTGCAATGTAAATCCAAAGAAATCAACTGATAATGATAGCATCTGGAGGACCATCTATGAAGTAAGCATTATTTAGGCAATAGCACACAATGTGAATAAAACCATTAGAATCATATCATAGTGACATATATAAGATAGAATAAGACACCCCTACTGCAGAGGAGAAATAGGAAATTAAATGTACACAATTTGTTTCCCAATACTCATGGGAAAGTCTCTATTTACCATTCAACATTGTAACTACAGTTTAAAAAAAAAACTCAAACAGAATATTGAAGTATTTATATATTCAAATTAAAAAATAATTTGTCAACATAGTATTACTTCATACATATAAGAGTAAAAAATGTTTTTCAAAATAGAAATAATTTCTAAATGGCCTTTTATATAAAATGAAAATTTGGCTTACCTCTTCCCTGTGGTTCTTAATTGGCATACAAAGGATACTTTGTGTCCTGTAGCCTGTAATTTGGTCAACTTCTGCATTGAATCGGGGATCCTGGGAAGGAAAGAGAAATTCAATTTATTGGTTGGCCTGTACAAAGATTGATTTGATTTTTCTCATGCATTAGATTAGAGAACTCTAACCTTTGACTTACCTTGTTACTATTGAGTAATGAGCTTATCATTGTGAAAGGCATTAAATCATGTAAGCCTATAGCATCTGACAGAGACGAGTTTCAAGGCTGTTTTTGGGGTTGTAGTGCTTATGAAAACTAAGACCCCAAACTCAAAACAAGATTTTGACAATAGTTCAAAAATAAATGACATACAAAATATTTAGAGAGTTTTATGGTTGAGGAAAACTAGCCTCTTTGACCCTCTGACAAAAATTGTGTGTTCCCATCTGTTTACTCCTAAAACCTTCCCAATGAATGACTGAATGTCTTTTGTAAGGACAGTTCTACGGATCCAGCCTGTCCTTCTGAAACAGGAGAGTAAGATATGAAAACCATAGGAAATAGCAAAGAATAGGAGACTCATCCTACATCTGGCTAAAACCCCTTGTCAGCCAAGTGAACATCTCCAATTCTAGCACAAACAACATTTTCCATAAAAGCTGCTGGTACAGAATTAACATTCATATCATATATAACTACCTTAAATTAATGATGACCTAGGCCTGAACGTATATGATTTTATGAAAGGCTTCAACCCTTTTCCCCAGGCACGGCCATGTAATCTGTTAACTTTGTTTATACTAAAGATACTTTCCATCATCCCTGTAGATTGGACTCTTACCTTATCAGCTGTGTCCTCAAGCTACCCAGGAAGACCCACTCAGTGACTCATTGAGGTTCCTTAGCAACTCTTTAAAGACTATAACTTCAAACCCCACCCCAATCCTATACATGACTGTTTAAGACCCAAATGAGCCCAACTCTTCTTTGAGTGATCCATGCCCACACTCTTGAGCATGTCTTACTTTCTTCTGAGTGCCTCTATTTCTCTTAACCCTTTACTGGATCTCACTTACAAATAGCTTTCTTAAACCTCAACTCTGCTTCATAAACCAGCTAGTCCTAAATCCCTTTCTCCATCAAAGCAGGATGCTCGTTTGGTTTTAAAGTCTAAGGAAAGTCTTCAGGGTGCTGAGGTTCTCGGCAAGGAGAAATGCCTCCTCCCTCTGCCCTCCCAAGTGCTGACACTTCTGTATCGGGTGTTAGTAAGGATTTTGTTCCTGAATTTCCTTGCTCTTAAATCCTGTTTTTTAACTGACAACTTACGCACACACACACACATGAGAGCAGATGCCCACAGAGACCAGAAGGCACCAGTCAGGGCAATTGTGAACTCTCTGCTCTGGATAATGGCAACTGAACAAACCCCAGTGCTCTGTGTGTGTGGCAGCTGCCAAGCCCTCTCTCTAGCCCTATCTTTTCTTTTTCTTTTTTAAAGCATGTGGATGCAGATCTAAGAATCACAAAGGATGTGAAAAAAGTGTCAAAGTTCTAAACGTGGGCCAAATTAAGGTACAAGGCAGCTTTCCATCATTCCTTACATTGGCAAGCTATGAATTATGTGAAAGTTTTTGAAAGCTCTCTCCTTCATCCATCGCTGTCTTCTTCATACTTGGTAGTTATTAATAACTGGGAGAATCAAAATGAAATGATACTATCGTTATCAGATGTGGTCATTTTTACCTCTGTGATCCTCAAAGCAAGCCTTGTTCATTAGGACTGAAATCTTAGAAAAGAAAATCAGGTCTAAGCATGTATGGTCAGGTTAGAATGGAAATACTCCCTCCAAAGCATCCGTCCTGAGTGAGCTCTGTCCTTCACCCACTAACAGTCTCCTTGCTCTAGAAGCTGCATTTGGAACTCCCCTCGGGACTACGGAATATTCATGCAGGAAAGCCCTCATCTTTTGAAGGTCATTTCTATTTTTTCTTTAAATTGGTCTAAAGTCATGCAAAGCCAAATCTGTGAATGGAGTAGGTAATTACACCAGATTCTATAAAATGGGGTCAGAAATGAGGCCAATTTTCTCAAGAGGATAGCACTGAAGTTGGCTTTAAAGATAACTTCAAAGGAAAAGATAAATCAGTATAAATATTTCACATTACAAACACCACTACATTCTTTTGTTTTTCCAGCAAATATGTACTAGGTTTTACTCAGATGCACAGGAAGTGTTCACTAAATGTTTCTAGTAAAATAGTTCTTATTTTAGCTTTGCATATCCAGACATTTTTATCTTTAGACTTCACTGTATCTAAGGAAAGTGGAAAGATGTTGATGGTAATGTGTTAAAGAAATAAAATTTAACAATTAGTGAATTATTTTACTAAATCAAATGTTGAGAATTAAAGTGTATCTTTTGTAAATGAAGGTGGGAATTACAAATTCAGTTTATAAAGAAGGAGATTTAACTCAACCATTTAATCAATGCAGTAGAGTTTGTGTCTACACACCAAAATTGCAACACAAACACAGGATATCAGGTTGGTGGAACTTATAGGCTTACCTATCTGGGCTGGGGTAGCCAAGCACCAGAAAGGGTCAGGAGCTTTCTCCCTTCCCCCATTTTTCAGCTCCTGTGTTCCCTTCAGACTGTCTCTGAGTTTTAACAAAAGGTATAAAGGCTTGCTGAATCCTGTTAACCATCTGATCAGATGACTGAACCTGACAAGGTTACAAGACTCTTACTCTGACAATATGAAGGGAGTGTGGGTTACCTGTGATCCCACTTGAGGCTGGTGTGGGGAGACAGAGCATCCTGGTGGGGCTGATATCTTAACATATAGGTTGTGTGCCTCTGGGTAGTTTTAGAATTAAACAGGAGTGTAAACTTCCACCTCACACTGGAGAATTGAGAATTAGTTGTTTGGAAAACCAAACAAGGTCTCAAGATTAAACATCTGTGGATATTCTTGCCATAAGAGCCTAGTTTCAGTCTATTCAAGAAAGACAGTCTGAAAACAACTGCCCTGTACTCTTCAAAAATATATAAATCAAGACAGATAAACACATAGTGGTAAACTCTTTTAGAGTTAGAAGGAGACACAACAACTCTGAAAATTTTGATCCAAAGTTGCATCCTGATTAGAAAGAAAAATAACTGTACAAGGGATACTTAACAGGATAATTGAAAAAAATTCGAGCATGGATTGTGAGATGTTTTGTACACATTAGATAATAGCATTGCATCACAGTCAAATTTTCTGAATTTGATCATTTATTGTCTGTAGAAGAATGTTCTTCCTGAAGATCACAAACGAAGGTTTGATGAGGTGGCTCAGTGGATAAAGGTTCCTGTTGCTAAGCCTGGAAACTTGAGTTCAATCCTTGGGGCTCATGTGGTTAGAAAAATGACTCCCACAAATGAGTCCCTGACCTATCTCTCTCTCTCTCTCTCTCTCTCTCTCTCCCCCCCCTCTCTCACACACACACTATGTATCGTGACTTACAGGAGGCAAGGGAAGAGGGAGGCATGATGAAGCAAAGCAGGAAAAACAAGTGGAGATCGGGGAAAAAACAGTATGTGGATATATCTTATACTGATCTGTGAATTCAAAATACAAATGACAGAAAACAAAAACAAAAGCACAAAAGAATTGCCAAGTAAGGCTCATTTTCTCCAAGAATGGCATTTTAAAGATAATGCCTAAAATTAGAGCAATGTCCGTGGCCAGACAGAGACACAGCAGTTCCCAGCCTGTGCTCCCTGGGGGCACAATAACACCGCAAGGACCCATAATTTATCTAAATTGAAGCATCTGCTGGTACTCTTTCCTTTTCTAATATTTATTTTGGAAATAACTGTACTCATTAGGAATCCATCAGAGAGACTTCATACTCCTTTAAGAAAGGAACTTGATGAGTCCTTCAGTAGAGACTGAGGACCACAGAGTGACAGAAGTTGATTTGTTCCTCTGGAAAAGAGGGAAAGGGAAAAAAGAAGCAAAGGCCGGAGGCAGCTACCACAGTTACGTGGTGACAGTAGCATAAATGGTGACATGACTCCTTGTTAACACCATCTATGCTCTACCGAAGTCAAGGCCCACATGGAGTGGTTGTCACGCAGAAGCAGAGCCTGAGTGTTTGCATTTGAGTCAATTCAGGAGAGAGGCGGGAGTTTTAACAATAGAAAGCTTTGCAACATAAAACAAAAATCACAGGGAGGTGGTATAATATAAAAACCTTCTCTAGAAAAAGGACCAGTTCAAGGTGGTCTTGTGTAGGTACCAGACATTCTCTTATTATGATAACGTATCTTATTAAGTCAATATCTTACACATACCAATGTTTCCTTACCTTCTTATTGATAAACGTTTTACTATTGTCTTACTATTGATAAATACGCCACACTGAAGAAGTTTCCCCAACTAGGAAGTCATAAGACCTCATCAGTCCGTGGTTAAACCTCTCCCAGCAGCTAATCCTCTCCTTGGTGTTAGTCATAGTCCAACAGAGACCCTAGGCTAAGTCGAGGATACTGACTTACACTGGAAAGATGGGGATGTGTTAGGGTTTTCAGTCTTAATTGTATCCTCACATTTGTGTTATTTTATATAATTTTCTGTGGTGAATTTTTAGATAGCCACTCCAATGTTGATAATTTCTCACAACTAAAGTATCCATGGAAATTTAAGCATTTTTCTCAGAGTCAACACAAGTGCTATTATAGTTCCTGGCCACCTCTTGGATTTCTGCTGAATTTTAACCCTTAGAGTGTTCTGTAGCCAAATATCCTTGAGGAATAAACACACTGATGGTGTCCTTTTTACCAGCGCATGGTTAAAGGAGTCAGACTCAGGAAGCATCCGCACTTAACATTCATAGCTGACTGCTTTCACAAAAGGCTCCAAGACAGCATTTTTACTATCCAGTTATGCTTGAAGCTGAGAGGTAAATTTTTCATTCGACAAATGACTCCCAGCATTAACACCAACAGAAACTGGAACGTAAATGACCTCCACACTCAGAGTGGAATTAATGGACATGAAAATCTGCAAAGCAACCATAAACACTGAGGTAGGGTACCAAGGTGAAGAGC